CCTCATCCCGGCCCTAAGGAGCCACGAGTCTCAGTGTCCCCGTAACGGCTGCAAGCACCTCTGAGGGAAAGCCGCCCTCAAGATCGCCCGCTGCCAGACAGTCCAGTTTCTCCCCGCATGAGTCCTGGGTCCCCAGAGACTTCCCGGAACCGGAGTTCAGAGCCGTCAGGAGCTTGTGACTCCCTCTGGATTCAAAAAGACAGCCGCGTCCTCGGGTGCCAGCCCCTTTCCGCGCACGCGAGCCCCGTACCTCTGCGCTTCACTTCTGCAGCTTCTCTGGGTCTCAGTGTGCCTTTCCTTACTTCTAGTTGTAGAATTTACAGTCAGCCAGGCTTCCTGTGGTTCTGGATGTTGTCCGTATTGTTTTTCTGAGGTATTAATCAATTGTTGTGAGTGGCATTAATTTCCCGGTGTTTATCTCTGCCGCCATCTTAGTTTTTCCCAGATAAATTTCTTATCGCCAATTTATTTAGCTCTTCTTCTGGAGAAATCTCTTGTTCTTTCATCTGGGGGGTGTTTCTTTGTCTCCTCATTTTGGCTGCCTGTTTGGGTTTGTGACTATGTACTAGGTAGATCTGCTACACTGCCCAATCTCAAGTGTAGGACAGTGTCAAATGCTGTTTCTGATTAATTAGATCGGGCAAAGACTCAAGGCCTCCAGACACTGCTGCTCTCTGCGGACTGATGGGATTTACTCTTGAGTAGCCCTCAGATCATCAATCATCAACAGGTGCACTGCTAGGTTTGCCAACAGGGTGGGGCAACTGCTTCTGCCTGGAGGCTAATTGTTATTCTCAATCTCTTACTGGGCCTCAAAAACTCCACACAGTGGGCAAGGGGTTTTCCAGTAGGGTGGGTCAACTGTCTTCTCCCCCAAACAAAATTGCCTGGATAGCCAAAGTCTACCTGACAAAGATGACCTCCACAGGATGAGGGAATGAATCAGCACAGGAAATCAGGGTATCTGCCTTCTGAGCTCTAAGTCCAGAACCCCCAACCCTGGCTTCTGGTCACATAGCTTCAGTTCACTCTGCCTTCCCTGTGCTGGAGCCCAAGGTAAGTGGCTATACACAAAATTTTGTGTGTTGGCCCTTTAAGAGGGTGCCTGCATTTCTAGCTGTCTTTTCCTGGCATACAGCAAATCTGCTGTTTTTCACAGCCAGATGTTATGTGGGCATTTTTCTCAGTTCTGTTGCTCTCTGCTGAGGGACCCAGCTTGGGGATTAGACCCCAGATTTCTCAGTGGCAACCACCCACAGCTGAGATCTCTCTCCAGAACTTTAGCTGCTATCTGTGGGAGCCCAGCCAGCCTTTTTGCACCTCTGTCCTTCCTACCAGTCTCTCTGTGGTCTTCCACTTTTCATTGTTGGTTATCAGGGTCTCTGAAGCTAGTCTTTAGTTGATTATTCAGGATTTTTTTTTTTGTATTTTAGTTGTAATTCCAGTTTGGTCCTGGGGACATGTTGGTGTAGTATGCACTTACTCCACCACCATTTTTAATCTCCCAGAAAGTAGCTTGTGTTAAAATATGTCTTGTTCTCTACTTTTATATACAATGAGCTACTGAAAAAATATATAAAAGTCAATCTAACTTCTTCACCCTTTACATTTACATACACCCATTGTTCCTGTCCAGTCACGGTGAATTTTCACATATAATTATTTTACACTTCTTTATCAGCTATTGTCCTCTAGATTTCATATTCACTTATGGTCATTTCCCTGAATCATTATGATTTATTTTGACCTACTTACCTATTGTTGTTCTATTTTTTCCAACTAGCCAGCAGTGATAGCTGAAAAGTGATAGGACGCTGATGAAGAACATTGTAGACACAAAGAAAAGAAAAAGTACGTGGAATTTGGCACGTGTATCTGTGAGTTCATTCTGAGAAAAGAGAAAAGAAGTGTTAATTTTGAAGACAGTCAACTTCTAGCATGTACTCTTATGTGGTTTTATTAAAAATGGTTAAATCAATAAAAATTTGCCAGATATGAAGAGTAACAAAATAAATTAGATATGTCCAAAAATAATATTTTGAAAGCAGAAAATTGGTATTATCAAAGGAGCTTACTTACAAAAAATAAGCGCTATCTAAAAAATTGATTTTAAACATTATAAAAATTGCAATACTTTCAGTAATAAAAAAAGATGGATTCTTTAATCAACATTTTTATTTTGTACTTTATGCATAAGTGAATGAAAACCTTTCCCCCAACATCTAGGAAGTAGGACGGTTTTCACATCAATGCTAAATTATCTGCTAATGTTAATCGTATATAATGCTTACCAGAAATTAATTGTGATATATTTATTTTTGTGCTTTTCTAATTTTTATTCTTGGAATTCCAATACGAATATGCCCATCCTCTCAGCTGTTTCCATTCCTATCTTTTTAAGCCTTGCTCCATTCCTACAGAGCCTTTTTTGGTAATTAGCAATTTTGGTAAATGAATTTAAATTTAACACAAATTATGAGTGAAAGAAAACAGTTTGTTGGTTACCCATTCTTACGACTATGTTCATTTTAACAGAAGCAAAGTCTTAACTCAGAAGAAATTAGTATCTATTAATAGGATAAGGAGGAATCTGTAATCATGAAAGCTACTATAACACAAGGTGGTGCTACTTGACTTAAACACTGTTTACAGGCTAAAAGAAAGGTCTTTAGTATTACATAACTCTATTGTTCATCTTCTCGTCTCCTCAATAATAACCATAATACCTTGTATTTTTATTAATTTTAGAGAGAGGGAGAGAGAGAAAGAGAATGAAACATTGATCAATTGCCTCTTGCACATGCTCCAACCAGAGATAGAACCTGCAACCTGGGTATGTGCTCTGACCAAGAATCGAACTTGCCACCTTTTGGTGTACAGGGCGACAATCCAACCAACTGAGCCACACTGGCTAGGGCAACCACAATACCTTTTAAACATCTAGTGGCTCTGGCTGGGTAGCTCAGTTGGTTAGAGCATCCATCTCAATATGCCAAGGTTGTGGGTTTGATCCCTGGCCAGGGCACATACAAGAAGCAACCAATGAATGCCTAAATAAGTGGAACAACAAATCGATGTCTTTCCCCTTCCTCTCTTTAAAATCAATAAATAAAAATTAAAAAAAAATCAAGTGATTCTCCTATCTCCCTTCTTGTGAAGCAAATAAATATTATATATTTATGTATCTATTCACTACAAACATCATAAAGGAGATGACAAAATGTCATGGCAGTAATGTGTTTTACCTTTGGACAACTCTGTGTAGACTTCCTGCGGCAAAGCTTGTACAAATAGAGACAATGTATTAAGAAACCAATTTTTAAACATTTTTCTGAACACTACCATTATATTTTTGTTTTGAAGGAACACTAAGATGTTGCTCTCTAAAAATTATTGACAACATTTTCTCAAAAAACACAAAACAAGCAAGAACATTTAGCTCTTCAAGCACATTTCAGGTACACTTTAAATACACACTTTTCCATTGTGTTTAAAACAGATTTGTATTTAAGATATAATAAAATTTAAAAATTTTAGCAAATAGTCCAGCTGGTGTGACTCAGCGGTTAAGTGTTGACCTATGAACCAGGAGGTCACAGTTTGAAGTTTGGGGCTCGATCCCAGTGTGTGGCATGCAGAGGCAGCTGATCAATGGTTCTCTCATCATTGATCTATCTCTTTTTCCCTCTCACTTCCTCTCTCTGAAATGAAGTAGCTTTTTAAAAAAAACTTCTAATTAGCAGTTTCTAGATCCAGATGGGACAATTTCTTATCCTCTTCATTGTCATTGCAATAGTCTTTTAAAAGGTTGTTGCTTGCCCCTTTCTGTTTTAGTGTCAGCACAGCAATCAGCGATCCTTCATATCACAGCTGTTCCCATTTCACCAAGTAGAAGCCGTGGTCCTTACTCCCCTTTCCAAGGCTCTTTATTTTGGGGGCCCATATCAGGGACTTCCCACTAGTCTCACTCTTGCTCACCCCCTCAGCCACACTAGATTACTTTCTCCTGCTCAAATATGGCTGGAACACTCCTAATTTCAGATCTTTTCCTCTGTTTGAAATTCTGTACTCTCAGATATCCCCAAACTCTCTTTAAGTCTTTGCTCAAATATTATTTCTTACTTAGGTCTATCCTGATCACTTTTCTTTTCCTTAGTTGAGATATAACCGACACAACATTTTATTAGTGTCAGGTGCACAGAATAATGATTTGATATTTGTATGTACTGTGAAATATCACCACAGTAAGTCTAGTTAACATCCATCACCTCACATGGTTATAATTTTTTTGTGATGAAAACTTTTAAGATATACTGTTATCAACTTTCAAATATCCTTATTAACTGTAGTCACCATAGTGAACATTACATCTCCAGGGTCTATTTTATTTTTACTATGTCCACCCACTTCACCCATTCCCCACCCCCTACTTCTGTCAACCACCAATCTCTAGATCTATTAGCTGGTGGGTTTTTTTTATGTTTACATATAAGTGAGATCATAATTACTTATCTTTGATTAATTACATTTACAAAAATGCCTTCAAGTACCATCCATGTTGTCCCAAGTGGCAGAATTTCCTTCTTTTTTATGGCTGAATAATATCCCACTGTATAAAGATACATCTTCTTCTTTATCCATTCATCTGTCGATGGACACTTAGGTTGTTTCCATGTCTTCATTAATGTAATTAATGCTGCTATGAACATGGAGTTACAGATATCTCTCTGAGATAATTACTTTTGTTTCTTTTGACTATATTTCCAGAAATGGAATTGTTCGATCATATGGTAGTTTTCTTTTTTAATGAACTCATTGAGGTCACATTGGTTAATAAAATTAAATAGGTTTCAAGTGCACAGTTCTACAACATATCATCTGTATACTGTATTGTGTGTTTACCACCCTAAGTCAAGTTTTCTTCCATCACCATTACCCACCCTTTACCCTCTTCTACCTCTTCCACCCCTTTCATCTGCCAATCAAATTTTAGGACTGTTTATTTCCGTGGAAAAATGCCATTGAAATTTTGATAGGAATTGAATTGAATCTGTAAATTTTTGGTAGTCTGAACCTTAAAAAAAAATCTCTATTGTTGAAAGTATTATACATGTCCCCCTTTTCACCCAGCGACCACTTCTAGGTAGTCTGAACCTTTTAACAATATTAATTCTTCCAATCCATGCACACAGACTATTTTTCCATTTATTTGTGTCATCTTCAAATGCTATCATCAATGTCTGTTTTCAGTATAACAGGTCTTTCACCTCCTTAAATTTATTCCTAGGTATTTTATTCTTTGTGGTATGATTGTAAATGGGATTGTTTACTCTTTCTGATTATTAGTGTAGCAAAATGCAACTGATTTTTCTGTACTGATTTTTATATCGTACAATTTTACTGAATTAATTAATTCTAAGTTTTTGATGGACTCTTTAGGGTTTTCTATAAATAATGTCATCTACAAATAGACACAGTTTTACTTCTTCCTTTCCAATATCAAAGTCTTGATTTCTTTAAGTAGTTTAGTAACTTTTAAAAAAGTGTATTTCTTTCAGAGAGGAAAGGAGAGGGAGAGAGTAGAAACATCAATGAGTGGCTGCCTCCACTGGAATCTCACTGGGGATCGAGCCCAAAACCCGGGCATGAGCCCTGATGGAGAATGGAACTATGACCTCCCAGTTCATAGGTCAATGTTGAACCACCTAGCCACACTGGCTGGACAATGTCTTTATCTTGCCCAATAGCTCTGGGTAGGACTTCCAATATTATGTTGAATAAACAAGTGAGCATCCTTGTCTTGTTCATTATCTTAGAGGAACAGCACTCATTTTTTCACAGTTGATGTTAGCTGTGCACTTATATATATAAACTAGAGGCCCAGTGCACAAAAATTTGTGCACTTGGGGGGGAGGGGGGCTCCCTCAGCCCGGCCTGTGCCCTCTCACAGTCTGGGACCCCTTGGGAGATAACGACCTGCTGGCTTAGGCCTGCTCCCGGGTGGAAGAGGGCAGGCCCAATCCCTAGGTGCAGCCCCTGGTCGGGCTCAGAGCAGGGCC